CACAATTTCAATACACTATTTTGAAATAAAAAATAGTTTCAGTCATGTTCTCAAAACCACATTTTCAATTTTGCACATGGATGAAAATGTATAACCATGGACCCTTGAAGAGAGTCTTAAATTTTAACAACAAATGTTAATGGGAGTAGGTGAAATAGATATGGCTGCTTATTCATAAAATAGAATGAGGATAAAGTTAGGACTTTTGCTACAACTATTATCTAGGCAATTTAACATTATCTAGCATTGTCAGCACAGTTTTAAAAGTTTTCAGGTGTCGCAATTGTTTCAATATTAATCAGCACAAAAACAACTTCTATATGTCTTATCACATTATGCTTTTAACATTTTAATTTTAATTGCAGCATCAGTCTAATTTGTGTTCCTTTTCATCCTCTGCAGTGCTTTTTGCACTGCCAGCCAAGGAAGCAGAGGCAGCATAGCAGAGCAGTCAACAGTTTATCATCCTTGACTGTATACCAGAGGAATGAATGTGTGTCAGCAAACTGCTGTTGGAGTTAAGGGAAGAAAAAGCATCACAGCTTACTCAAGTGCAACTGTTAAGAAGGAGGACTGAGCTCTGCCTTCAAGTGGCAAAAAGATAGTTCTGTTTCAGCCGAAAAGTCATTTGGCTTTAATCTTTTACCTGCAGCTTCAAAGTTCAGGTTTGGCAGTGGCTGAGAATGCATCGCGACTTATTCACTGGGGGGTGGGCGAGAGAAAAGAGAGAAAGCCAGTGTTGTTGAGTGACAAACCGAAATTGAGGAAAGGGCAGATAGGTGCTGCATCTACAGAAGAAGGGAAAGCTTTCTTCTCTAGTCTTTGGGTTTGGTTCAAGACTCCCATCAGGGGAGAGCTCTCCTCTGAAGAGTCAGCTGTTTGGAGCCTCAGTGACACAGAGCATGTTTACTGCTGGTGGGTGCATGTTTTTGTGTGAGCTCTCCAAAAAAAGAGAGGGACTGAGAGAGTCATTTGGACACAGCATGAAGTCAAAATTGTTACAACAGCAGACAGATTGAGAACTGATTCTTACTCAAGCCTCATGCAAGCTCAAACACGTCCAGCAAACATACATAATCTCAACTGAAAACAGCCACAGTAGGAATGTCTCATTCTAGTTCAGAACATTAAACAGGCTTATTTGGATATAATTTGTAACATTTTTTCCATCCGTTCCTCTGAAGGACTGCATAATTATCATAATGAACATTGGAACAATTTTCTGCTGGTAGATTTTATTTATCCATTTCATCAATGCATCTAAATACATTAAAGTTATTTCAACAACCTCATTCAAAAAGTAAAGTGCCTTTTTGAATGATGTTGGTGTGGATTTAATACACACAGTGATATGATTTGAGTATTGTGGCATCCACCTTCTGAAAACCCAATTTCAGTTTCACATTTATTGTGCCAGTCCACTGTGTTTTTATCAGGTCCAAAGTCAGTCCAGCCATCTAACAGGAAATTCTGGTTCCCCTCATACTTCCTCTACTAAGAAGCTTCATTGAGACGCCAATTTCAAATGGCCAGCAGGATTTAGCTTCTGCTCACGTTGCTTTAATAATGCTTTGAATTGCTTCACTGTTCAGCAAACTGGTCTGGTTTATGCATGGAGAAAGACAAAAGACACCAGATCCAACAATACAGATGAGCTGAGGCCACCCTTAACATGAACTGGGCTTCCTTAGCAGTCAGTAGAACCCCAGGCTGATCGCCTCCAGTAGAACAGCACCGATGCACAAATTTATGTAAAAACGACGTCAGACATCGGTAAGTGTGTCTCACTTGCTACTACTACTGCATATCAAGAGAGATCATACTCACCAGAGATCTTATATTGCTGGTACTTGTCCTTAGTTTACAGCTTAAAAATGGTTTTCTGTTTCACCATTTGAGCTTCAGTGAAGATTACCATCAAGGCAATGCCAAACTTTAAAGGTGAACCACCAAAAAACACAAACAATGGAAATTTCATCTGTGCTTTAGCTGAAGCTCTTTTTGTCCTTTTCTCACTCTTTACAGGTGCAATGCATAAGTCAGAGGTAAGGCGTGTAGGAAGGACTCAAATAAAAAAATGTGGACCAAGAATAGGATCAACAGGGAAAGTATTTTCTGACACTAGGCACGGGGCACAAAGAAAATAACCCAAAGGAGTAGGTTTCTGACGAGACACTCCTGAAGTGTCACTGTCAGCGAAGTTAATGTAGACTGGGTTTAAAATGCCACACCCGCCAATGGACAGACAGGGCAACACTTCTGGTATGACAGAAAAATAAATGGGGGTCACTGGAGTGGCCCTGAGCAAATCATTTTAGATTACAGCTTTGTGTCTTTGTAAGACAAATGGGATTCTCCTCAAAGGAGAAATAGTATTTTTCCACAATTTTAAAATGTAATCCCTGTTCATTCAGCTTAACAATGAAATACTGAGAATCAAAGTGTACACATTATGGTTTATGATACCCTGATAATGATTCAATTCTTTGAACCTTTTCACACTTAGTTAAAATTCATAAAGTCATAAACCTCAATTGTATTCTTTTCTTAATTTCCCTCTGGGTTTGTTGGAGAAGATTGGTGCACAACCAGCACAATGAAGAACAAGGACTGAGCAGACATGTCAGGGATGGAGGACGTTTAAAGCAGGGTGAGTTATAAAAACACATCTCAAGTTCTTAGTATCTCACAGAAGACAACTAACTACAGGCTGCAAAAGATTTTTGAGCACAGGAAAAAAACTCAAACACAGTCAGACCTAAAATCAAATTATTAAAAGAAAAGCATATGTATGTTTCAAGCCAAGCTCATTATCTGTAGTCTGAGTAGAAAAAACAGTCAAATCTGAATGAATTTGAGCTACTGTACAAAAACTAAGTTTATACCTTACAATTTAAATTTTTTTTTGATGTTTTAAAATTTTGAATTAAACACACTTCTAAGCAGTTACTAATATACTTAAGCTTTTTGACCTCTTGAACCAGAACATACAAGCTCTCAAGTATTAAAATATAATTTCTAAAACGCTATTTATTAATTGGATGAGGCATGATTTGTAAGTAAACGCTGACTGCAAGCAAAGCCTCTTGATTGGTAGTAGTCAATTTCTAGAAATGCAACAACCACTTTCCCTCTATATAAATCAAAATAAATGCTTGGATGTTTTGGGAATACATGAAGCTACAGAATACAAATATCTAACATTTCAGAGTGCTGTTAGGTTTGCGGGAGCCTGTGGCAGTGAAGCTGGTGGTAACCATATGGTTGCTTTCATTGTCATTATGTTGTAATTTTCTACTAAGCCCATATTCTGTCAAAAACATTCACATTTGGAATGTGAATACTGGGACCATGCAGCTTAAATGATTTCTGGTGATTCTCTTGGAACTCTTATCAAAATCTGCTGGAATCAAGTAGAAGTTGTTTATAGTGTTTATAAGCTCAAAGATTTTTATTTTTTTATTTTTAGTTTTTTTTTTAAACTTAATACAATTTGAGTGATTAAAAAATACAAATTGAAAACATCCTAGGTTCATCATAATCCAAGAATATTTCAAACAACTTTAAACTTTTTTATTCACTGATTGTTCAATTGTTTCCTTATTCGAATCATTAATTTCAGTGTACTTATTCGGAGCGTTAGTATTTTAGCAGGTCTGTTTTTTTTTTTTTGCTTTTTTTTTGTTTCTTTGATGATTGCAAAGAGCTTTTAATTAAAAAAAATGTTAAATGAGAAATAGCCAATTAAAATTCTGGCCATATGGAATAATGAGATCCACAGTAACTAGTTAGGGTTCCCTTCCTCAAATAGACACATTGTGTTTATTGAGGCATTTGCATAAATATGGCATTAGCCACGCAATTGCTCATGTATACAAACAGCTAATTCCAAAATGATGAGTACCCCATCACCTGGAAATACACCCAACAGACTTGTGGAAGTTGCTTTGGATTACAAGCGTGAACTAACAATGAAGAGCTTCTCAAATCAAGCCTCTTCTGTGTGTGCCAAAGGAAAGCTTGGCCTCTTTGCAGATTTGGAGGGAGAGAGTCTGCCTGCAGTGCAGCAGTGAACATGAATGTTCAAACATCTCCTCTGACTGACTGCAGCACCTCTTTGCTTCACCAAGCAGCCTGGGAAAGCGTGGAAGCTGGGTTTTGAGAGTGAATGTTTCCAATAGAACGCCAGCCAGTACCTGATAGAGTTGGCAATGTGCAGCACCCGGGTATTTCCCAGAAGAGGGTGTATGCTGCTGACGTATGTGCTCGCAAATTGAGACAACAGATGAGCGACAGTTGATAGTATTAAAAGGGAAAACACGCAGAAACGTAAACATGCCAATTTCTCCTTGAGTGCAGACTGAAAGCACTTCATTCACAAAACAGCGCAAAGGCTGCCCACGCAAGAGTTCATCTATTCCACTTTTCATGAGACGCATGCAAACGCCCACAGTTACACTGCGCACACTCTCACACACGCACACACACACGCAAGCACACGCATAGAGTGGTGCCCTCGATGCACACAGCTGTCACAGAACCTCACAGCTCATCTCTGGTGAATTACTCTAAGTGTGAGGTACCGCTCCAGGGTTTCCCCTGGAATAATAATTTAAAAAGCCTAGTTCTTTATTTCCTGCATCTTTTGGATATATCATTCAGTTGGATAACCGATGAAAATGTGTGGAGCATGCAAAGACATAAGCACAGATGAGTGAAAGAGTTAACAATTTTAATTTGGTGCAGTCGAAAAGGATTTATTGCAGAGGTCTTTGGCATGTGATAGAAGCTCAACAGACTGACAAAAAGCTCAGCAATGCAGACCCCCAAAGATACACTACAAATGCATTCATGTCAGATGCCACCCACACCTTATTCTGAACTTGTTTGCACCAAACTTCAACAAATACATCCTCATTAGACCATGTTGAATCTTTTTTTTTTTTTTAAAGGTGAAACAGGCACTCTGCATTAAAATAACTTCAAGCTGGAGAACTTACCTTACACCTACTCTGCAATCAGGAAGCATCTATGAGCGCAGGGATTCTCGGTTGTCCGCAGATAGCAGAAGATCATACATGGAAAAGTCTTCTTCTCTCATCTATCCTATGACTGCAACCAGCACATTCATCCAGGCATTTTGATTACCGGCAGGTGGATGGTGGAAAGATGATTGCCTAAAAGGGGAAATACTGGCTTTGGGGGAAGTGAAAGAGAGATTCTCAGGTCTCCTTCCTCCACTGAGACGAGTTGCGAGCGCACCGTGAGGACCATCCACTGCAGCAGAGCTGAGCAGCGTGCAGCAGAATGAGGAGAGAGGGGAAGAGAGAGAGAAGAGAGGAGAGAGACTAGAAAAAAAACAGGCATTTACTGCTGCTGGTTCCACGAGCTCGGCGGGAGCAAAAATCTGGGACTGGAGTCTGGATCCTCGTATTTCCACTTTATTGAGCTTCTACCCGAACAAATGAAGAGTAATGGTAACAATGGGAGGACAAACACAGGAGATGGATAGACCAAGATAGCGAGAGGCTTATTTTTTCCTCATACCACTCCTCCACTATTGTAGTTTTCTTTTCCATGACATGCAATATCTTTTCCTTTCCTTGCCCGGAAATAGTTGTTCAAAATACTACTCAGCTGATAAAATGTTAGGAGCAGTTTCCAAAAACATATTCTCTATTTTGACGGGTCAACCACCACTGACAATGTTTTTTTTATTCGTTGTTCTCTTTCTTGTGCTCTCATTTCTGAATGCTTGACACAATCCAATAACAGCATCTATTTTTATTTTATTGTTTTTTTTATGTATTTCAGATCAAAACAGTCAAAAAAACAAACAAACAAAAAAAAAAACTAAGTGACTAACATTAACATTATATCGTGACAGTTTTAAGGTTGTTTTTTTTCACACACAACATGAACTTAAATGTCATAAACATTTTAGCTTTTTCTACAAATTTTAACAGAAACTCAAAATGTATTATTAGCCACTGATATTCAGATAAACATCTCTTAGAAGATAAACGTCTCTGGAAGAGTTCATTTAAAAGCTCCAAATTAAATTCTAATTTATGCCATTGAAAACTATATAAAAACTTCTTAGCTGTTTCTCTACATGATCGAATGAGGTGTTTGAAGGAGTATGAATATAGTGCAGAAATATTATGCAGAATCAAACCCTACTTGTTTGACAATGAAGACACTTCGACAATGTGGCACATTTAGCTCGCGATCAATCCCTTTTATAGAGTATTTGGCTGAAACATCTATTGCCTGCTGTAACAGGGGAACAGGCTTTTAGCTGGAGTCCTTCGGCCTCAGCAGGGCTCAAGGTCACTTGGCAGAGCCTTTTCCCGGCAACCCAAAAGCTTCGGTGACAAACAGTGGCATACAAGACAGACGGGCTGTCAATCCAAATCTGTAGCCTTGAGGAATGAAGCTGGCTGGCTAAGCATCCAGCATTCTTACAGTGCACAACCAGGTGGAGTGGTAATTTATGAGCCTGCAGGAAGAATTCATTGCCCTTCAGCAGAAAGTTTGGTGCATAAATAATGCTAATATTGTTTCCAGCCTCAATGAGATGAGAAAAATTGAAGACAGCAAGGGAAGACAATGAAAGAAACGGGCTGTCAGGACTCTTGACAAGACTATAGCTCATCTCATATCAGATGGCTTACCAGATCGACACCTGTAGAATTTTATTTTCGTGGCACTTTGCTTAATTTTTCTTCTGACAAAAAACAAATATGCACTCCTCACAATTTCTGTTTTGACCTTAAGATTAGCAGTCATTTTTTTTGCTTAATAACATACAAGAACAGCGTTCAAAATATATTTTTTTTTCTGAGCAAGCATTTATTATTTACATTACTAGAACAGAATACACGCCATGTATTCGAGAGACCATATGTGGTTTTAAATGGATTTTACTAATTTATAAGAAGACAAAAGAAACATTTCTAAAACCGACAAAGATTGAAAGCTAAATTGGATCAGACAGACCCACTTTGCTGTACAGGGCTCAGCCTTTCTGTTATCTTCCAAAAGACTGGTTCTTTTGCAGCCTGAATGAAGCACTAATGTGGCTCAGCATGTCATAGAACATCCACTCTCCTTTGAAATGGCTTCATCTGAGTTTCCCTGCTTTAATTTTAGAAACATCCTGATACTAAAAGTAAAAATAATAATAATAATAATCATGATATCTCTCCATCTCTAAAAAACAAAACAAAAAAAAAATGTTGGATAATTTCAGCTTCTTCTTAAAAGTGTGAACTTTGGCTGCCACATAGGATAAATTCTTGTTTAAGCTGTCTTTCTACAATATTCGTGAAATAGAAATATCTGTCTCTACAACTTGAACGAAACTTGGACTTACCAAATGGTTTTGCTGGCAACTCTTTATTGTTTTAATTTAAAACCAATGACAGATGCATGAACAGATGGTTCATTCTATCCACTGCCATGTATGTTCTGTTGTGTCGCCCACTTTGAAGATGCAAATGGAAGTAGGACCAGAGAGAGGAGACAGAGGAGCTCATTTTTTTCCACAGATTATCTGTCTCATATTATATTGCCACGACATGTCGTGATTAACTTTTATTAACTTTTTAAAATATTATTATTCTGATTTATTATTTTAAGAGGGTTGTGTGGAATTGGTAATTGCTTGAAAAAATATTTGTTGATGTTGGATTATTTTTTTTTTTATCAACTTTTGAGAAGTGAGTCCAGCACCTCATAATACAATTTACTTTTCCATCCTTGTTCTGTATTGTGCCTATGTATTGTCATTCTCAAAGCTCTACACATCCATACATATCTCTGCTCTTCTGTGTTGGGAGGTTTTTCAGTCGGCTAGAAAATTAGACGCTCCTTGCGTTTGTGTGTGTGTGTGTGGGTGTGCGTGTGTGTGTGTGTTAGTAACGCAAATCTCATCTCACAAAAATATTAATTTCACGGGTCGCTGTCCCATACAAGCCACCATCTACGAAGGAAAAAGCATTAAGCGTTATTCCCTTTCATATTCAAACAGAGAACAGCAAGAGGGGAGGGGCATGCCAGACTTATCAAGGCTCTACTGTATGCAGTTTGTCCTTGTAATGAGGTTGAAGCCACTGCTAACTATTCATTCTGGTCATTCACCGGCAGGCCTTATCGGTGCTGTCGAATGACTTTTGCTAAATGATGTGCAAAAGGAGCACGTCTCATCTGTCTTGTTGCATTTGGTTGATGTGCTCTGGGCAGGTTGTCAGCATTAAATGACATACATGCCAAACACTGTGAAGGCCAGAGAGTGCTGAGGGAATGGTTAATGGAGAACAAGTTCAAAATGTAAAAAAAAAAAAATTGAAAAGGGAAAGTCTACTGAAATGTCATAGAACATCAAACGTGTTTTCAAATTCATGCTCAGACAGCTGTATGAATGTTAAAAGGCATATATCTTCAAAATTGGAAGGCATGGAACCTAAACATTTTAAACTGAATTAATAAATCACAATTGACCAATCAACTTTTCTGAAGTAGAGACTTTCATAATACACATTGAAAATGGAACGTCACCTCCATTTATGGTTGACGACATCTCTAATGGTACAATCCTGAAAATCTGAGGAAGGTTTGTCTTTCTGTCAAAAAGATGCCTGAGCAAAGTCCTAAGGAAAACTGCTTATAAAATGTTAGCCATTTTATTGCTTTCTTTAGCCATTTTATTGCTTTCTTTTTTGACAAATGAGGCACACAGAGGAGAGAATGATTCATTGCTAAATCTGAGCATTTTCACTTTAATCAAATTAAGTTGCTTTTTTGGAAAAACAGCATATTTAAGTGATATGTCTAACCACAGACCAACTTACAGCGTTTGAATGGCATCAAAGATGGTATACTAGAAATGTTGACAAAACAGAGATTGGTTATGTTTAGAAAAAGTGAGGCTTAGATTATTTTTGCATTTCTCCTTAATATACATTATTCTTGTGACAGTCACTAATGGAAGGGCTGAAAGCTGCCAGAATTTTTGTCTTTCTAATAGTTTGTGTCACAAGTGGTCAATCACCACTTCTAAGAATTACTTGCAGGCTGTGTGATTATAAATCCCATTTTATCAAGGCAGTTTGTTAATTTTCTATGCTTGAGAGGAGGTGCTACTCCTCTCGAGCATTTTTTCTGATTGGAACTCATTATCAGATAAATGACCAAATAAAGCTATATTTTATGAACTTAAGTGAAAGAAGTAGACTGTGCTATCACTGCCCTTGTCTTTGGTGGCCATTGTGTTATGCACTGGCAAAATGCATAGAAAAGAGATGGGTTGTGATTGGTTGAGATGAACTAGTGACTGGGTTCTCTCCCTATACAGTCCAAAATCATGTTGGTTTTGGTTAGTTTCTCTAAAATTCCTTTAGTTATGAGTGTTTGTCAATCCTGTGTGTCTCTCACGTTTTGAAGGACTGGCGACTATTACAGTGCACTGCCTTTTTTCTAACGGCAACTGGAGATTCCAGTTATAGGTTACAGGTTACAGGTCTGAGTCCACCTATAGCTCTGCACAAGTAAGTGGGTATCGTCAACGGATGGGTGGGCTAAAGCACTTGTGTGAGAGGAAGTCATTGAATCTTGCCAATTTCTTGTGACAAAACAAAAGTCAGGAGGTACCTGAGAAAAAAAACACAGTAAGCCCAACAGAATAATCTTTCATAGAGGCAAAATAAGGTGATGAACAAAGACATCTGGAATGATGTACACAACTGACATGTTGCAGATGTGTTCTGCTGATAAAGTTTTTTCTACCTTGGGAGTTTAAGCTCCTTTGACAGTTTATTTTTTTCTGTTTTCAATAAGTAGCTTCACAGCACTATTCAACAGCGGAGAGCCCATGCCATCTGTATGACACAAATAGTGTAGGTTTTTAAAAGGATAATAGAGAAGTAGCCTACAACAAAATAGTGAAACTCATAAACACTGATCATGTCATGTTGCTCTACGGTTGAACTGATTTTACAGAAAAATACAGTTTATAGCTCCAAAAAATGTTTTAAAATATTTTAAATGAGAACACTATTTTGAATTCTACAAAAACCTGCTTAGCAACTAGGTAAAGAAATCCCAGAAGGTCTAACTTGACAGACATCAAAACCTCTGTTATCAGCTGCACGATGTCAAACAGAAGAACCTCTGTGACATTAAATGCATCCAAGAGGAAACCTCTAGGTCTATCAGACAAATCAAATCCAGAGTTAATTTGATTCTGTGTCTGTATTCCTGGCATATCTGGGTCTGCT